AAATTTGAACTATGATTAATGCGAAGGAGGAGACAGAAGCCCGCTTCTAGTCTTCGAACCCATAAAAATTTTAGGCTAATTAGCTGGCATCTATCTGAGTAGGAGATATTGGGGTGTTCCCTATCTAAAAGTTTTTTAAGAAAAACGTCTTTGGACATTTTCAATTTTTAAACGACTGGCTTCATTCATCAAACCAAAGAATGGGCAACAATACTCGAGAATGGGAAGTGCAAACATACGATAGAGCCTTAATTTAATTTCAGGAAAATAGAAACTGTAAGAAATAAAGCTACAAATCTGGGCAGCTTTGGCTGTAATTCTGTCAGCGTGCGGCGAGAGATCAAGATTACTGGTGTAGCTTAAACCTAAATCCTTGATGGTGGTACATTCAGTCATAGGTGTGACTTGAAAGACCACTGATTGAGGTAGCCTATCAGGTCCAAAGCACATATAGCGACATTTAGACGGAGAGAATTCCATTAGCCATTTTGAGCTCCAAGCTGAGAGGGCAAGCAAGTCAGCATGGATTTGCTCCAGGCAATGAGGGCTCGTAGAGTTTTTGAAAGAATATACACAACCATTCTGAAATAAATCTGGTACATCGTAAACAACAAGGCAAAATAATAGCGGGTCAAGGTCAAGCCGCTGGTTTTAAATTTGAAGATAAGTGGAGGATATTATTTTTAGTGATTTTTCTGTGAGATCTAACGATTTTAGTACCTGTTTTTTGGTGGAATTTCCTTAAATACAGGCCTTTTCTCTAAGAACTGCCCGCTGCCATCTCCTTTCGAGTTTTGCTAGTTTATGCCCGTTGTTCACTAATCGCACTTTGCAATTCTCATTTTGTGCATCCAATTTCCCTCTAACTGTTGTAATTTATTTTTACATCGTTAGCCCCTAGCTGAAATTCAGTCAACTTGTCTGCCAGAAGTTTTCTTAATCACAAATTGCCTCGAGACAAGATGAGACCAAAAGTCACTGGTCGACGTAAGCTCTCGGCTCTTGTAAGTAAACATGGCCTAACTAAACGTAAGTCAGAAGCTTTACCTAAATCTAAGTCAGATGATATTACTAGTCAGTCGTCACCCGTTGTAATTGGTCGGCAGCTTAATCTGTCTTCACTTGACCACTGCAATGACTTTATGCTAAAGTTTGGCTCTTGGACATTTATTCGACGGGAACATCTCCGATATTCCCTCTGAAGAATGTAGGCGTCTCGACTCACTTGTTCACCTGATCGCCAGTGAATCTAGTGATAGACAGAAGCGTTCTTACAACTTCCTGCTAAAAAATGTTCCTCGATCTGCTCGGCCAATTGATGTTGCGACCGGTTTCCTGTATTCATGTGGTTTCAACTATAAAATAGCGGATGCCAAACGCTTGTCCTCCCGTAGTTCAAATCCACCTATCTTAGTCAAATTGTTTTCATCAATCGAAGTTGACACAATCTTTACTCATCGAGAGCGTGTCACTGCGTACCTAGAGAAGGCAAAATTTTTCCTTTGTCATGATCTTACTCCTATGGAGCGTAGAATGGGGTCTCTATTCTCACGTAAACCTACTGCTTCTCAGTCTAATGCTCCTCAATTCGGTCATAATACAAGTGGCCGTAAGGATTCAGCTTCTCCCACTCCTGCGACATCTGACTCCCTCCTTCCTCTTTCTCCGACATCTCCATCTCACTCGAACCACTTGACGCATTTGCCTGCCCCTAAACTTGCAGCAGCAGCAGCAGCCCCATTTGTCGTTTCGTATCCTCCGGATAGTCCCGCTGAGACACATGAAAATCCGTCTACATCAGCTAGACCGATAACTTCTATTGTTCAACTGGGTGCTGTAAGGTCTACAGCTAAGTCACCAGTGGCTTGGCGTCAGAACGGTGAGACCCGAAAATTGAATCAGACTCCGACCCAAAAGATAGGTAGTACAGTTCCGTTTAGGGGTACGACGCCTTCTCTTAGATCTAACAAGTCTGTTCAGCCCAGCACGTCTACAAAACCCGCAGCTCCAATTATATCCTCGAATAATTCTCTGTCCTGCGTACCGGTTACTTATCAAAGCCCTACTATATATCCAGCAAATAATTCATACATGATTTGCCCTAAATCATTTATGCCCCAACCTAGTTTAGGCTTCCCACCACTTAAGGCCAATTGCTCTCAGGTACGTCAACCTATCTCCTTTGACTTCCAATCTAGACCTGGTTTCCCACCCTTTCATTCTTTTAGTGGCCTACCCTCACCCATTAGCCCCTACTTTCCTTCTAGCCTCCCTCCTCCTCCCCTTCCTCCATTATTTAACTACCAACAAGTCTATCCACGTTCTAACTCCCCTAGCATTCCAATGTTTGAAAACTATATCCCCACCTCCTTTAGGTCTCATACTCAGCCTTCTCTTGCTGACTCCCCGTACGTCAATAACTCTAAATTAACTGATACTTATTCTCCAAGTGTCATTAATTCACAGCTTACATATCCGCCTCCAAATTTTTTTTAAATACCGTCGAAAATAGCATTGCCGTTTGAAACAAATTAGATATTATATTATTGAATGCCAGGTCTGTTATAAACAAGATGGCCCAAATCAGAGCCATTGCTCTGGAAATGACGCCTGATATTATATGTGTAACAGAATCTTGGACACATTCTCTAATTCCTGACTCTGCCCTTCTCATAGATGACTTCGATTTTTACCGCCAAGACCGCACGACTAGGCGTGGGGGTGGTTGTCTTCTTTATCTTAAATCCTACCTAAAGCACTCTCCCTATTACTTGGATGTTTCCTCATTCACGGGAAACTTCTGCTTTGCATCTGTTATTCTCTCGCCGCAAAGAAAGGCAATTATTGGCTGTATCTACAATCCCCCAAATTCTTTAGCCAGTGATGATTCACAACTCTGTGAAATCTTTAAATTGATTTCGGAAGCTGCTTTCGATGTTAAAATAATCACTGGGGATTTTAACCTTCCTGAAATTGACTGGGTTTCCAATAGCTGCCCACCCAGATTCCAGTCCTTTCAAGATATTATCAATTTTTCTAATTGGGCCCAACTGGTGCGCTCTCCAACAAGAGATAATCACATTTTAGATCTAATCTTTACCAATGACATTGCTCCTCTTTCTGCTGCTTTAAAAAAGGACCTCTTTGACAGTGACCACGTATTAATTCATTGTTGCCTACCGCTTGCCTTTTCAAAAAAGACAAGCGCCGTTCAGACTTTCATGAACTACGACTGCGTAGATAGCGACTTAATAAATAACTATATGAGATCCTTGGATTGGTGTGGCTTCCTCACTTGTAGCGATGTAACCATTCTTCGTGATGTCATGTCCAATGTTTCCAAGGACATTCTAGAGTTTGTGCCGCGTAGATATCTCAAGCCTAATTCTTCAGATTCTCTTGTTCCTCATTTTCTTCAGAACAGACTAAAAAAGTTGAGGCGACAACTGCGTGACCCATCCACTAGTTCCTTATCTGTTCATCTTAGAATCACAGAGATATTTGAGATGGCCTCAAGGATGCGCCAAGCGCGCGACAGGCAAAGAGAATCAATTGCTCTCAGTGGTTCGAACCCTGGCAAATCCGTCGCTAGCATCTTCAGTCATCGGTCCTACTCTAAGCGTGGTCATGAACTTCCACCCATGCTAAATGATAACAAAGTCTTCCTCACCGATGACACTGACAAGGCGGACTTGTTTAGTGCTTTCTTTGCAAAACACCTTGCTACCGAGTCCGATCCGGTCCCTTTCTTTCGATCACTTTCAGATAGGACACTTAGTACAATTGATGTCTCCTCAGATCTCATTAAAAAACACATAAGCCGTTTGAAATACTCACACTGCTCAGGAACGGACGGGATTCCGAATTCGATTATTAAACAAGCGTCGGACCTTCCCATATTGCTTAGTCATTTATTCTCTGTTTATATTTCAAAAGGATTCTTTCCTGAAACATGGAAAACGCCAATTATCATTCCCGTTTTCAAGTCAGGATCTCGGTCCGATGTTAATAACTATCGGGGCGTGCACAAAACGCCGTCTCTAGCAAAACTTCTTGAAAGGATTATTTTCAATGAAATTCTTGACTTCTGTCTAGCTAATCGGCTTCTGAGCTCTAGTCAGCATGGGTTTTTACCTGAACGATCCTGCGAAACATGCCACTTGGCTTTTCTTAATCTAATCACTTCTCTTCGTAATGAGCGGCAGTCAGTGGTAGTTATTTACTTTGATCTAAGCAAAGCCATTGACAAGGTGTCCCATAGACGTCTTTTAGTAAAATTGGAAGCCCTCGGCATCCGGCCGCCTCTACTCGACTTCATTAGGTCCTATCTGTCCAACCGATATCAGAAAGTCATGGTCGGTAATAGCTACTCGACACCTCACTCGATCACGAGT